AATGTGGAGGTACTGAAAGTGCTGCCTCCCCGCCGGCCGCCAAGTTGGGAGTCCCAAAAGCACATTTTTTAAAAATCAAAATCATTTTAATTTCATCTCTTGTGGATATCAACTCAAAAAAAGAGGTACCCAAGTCTCTGTATTCAGAGGAGATTTCTGTTTTGGAGGAAGGTGTCAGGGGATTGATCTAACATGAAAGTCAGCTGCCAGTTTTCACCTTTTGATAGATTATAAAATGTCCTAATGGCTCCCCACTACTCCTGGCTATTCTTCTTCACTTTAGGTAGCAAAATTATTACCCCAAACACCAAGGATAGAGCAGGGGGTGTAGTGTAGTGGCAGAGCACCTGCCTGGCCTGTGACAGGCCTTGGGTTCCATCTCAACTCTGCAAAATCAAGACAGGTATAGATTAGCCAAGTCTGTGAAAATCAGGAAAACAAATATTTACTATACTTTAGTGTTTATAAAACAAAAGGTGGTTTATTTCTTCAGTGGGAAATGTCAATCCAGGCCTTGAAAAAAGGCAGTTACATTTTTCTGCTTTAAGGTTTTGGTTGTGCATGTAACTCTTATGTACACACATATACACACATATATATGCATGGGTATTTTCTTTCGATACACGCTGTTCCCTGTATAAATAATCAAGTGTGTGTGCCTATGTATGAATATGACCTACACGTTAAAAACATTGGCACAGGCTTGGAATGTAACTCAGCAGAACTGAGTTTGAGCGATTTGTTTCATTTTCATAGAATAAGAGCACCTTTAATTTTACCCCTTTGTAACAGAAGGTGGGAGCTTCTGGCTGTAACACCAAAAAACAAGGGTGTGGGTGTACGTGTGTGCATGTGTTTATAATCTGAAAAAGAAGTATTATGGTTGGATCTGAGATGTTCCCAGAGTCTCCTGTGTTGAGGACGTGGTCCCCAGTTCTCAGCACCGTTGGGAGGTGGTGGGACTTTTAGGAGGTGGGGCCTAGTTGGAGGAAGTCAGGTCTTTGAGCTTGTACCTTTAAAGGGGTATGGAGTCTGGGTCTTCCTCTCTCCCTTTCCCTTCATAGCCATCATCGATTAGGTACCCTGACATGACATTCTGCCTAACTACAGGCAAAAGTGATGGGCCAAGAGACCCTGGGCTAAAACCTCTGAAATCATGAGCCAGAATAAATCTATCCTCCTTTTAAGTTGTTTATCTCAGGTTCCTCCTCCTCCTCCTCCTCT